TTTTTTTAAAAAAATAACATAGCAATAGCAATAGTTAGGCTTATATACCGCTTCATAGGGCTTTCAGCCCTCTCTAAGCGGTTTACAGAGTCAGCATATTGCCCCCAACAACAATCTGGGTCCTCATTTTACCCACCTCGGAAGGATGGAAGGCTGAGTAAAATGAATAAGTCCAATCTGAGTTGAATTGACTTTTATTGTATTTTATATATAAAGAGGAAGTAATCCCCAAAGTTCTTTTTCAGAGTACCAGGAAAATTATAACTAGAAGAAGCAGGGTTTGGGAAGAACACAAAACTCCTAATCTCCAGTGCTGTGGCACATCAAAGAATAAATCTATTCTGGTTTTTCAGTGAATTTTTGAATATGATTCTATTTTATGGGCTTTGTGATTTGTTATATTTGTGTTTATAAACTTAGACTCGCTATTGATTTAAGTTGTGTATGATTATGTAAACAGATACTGTAATTAGATTTATAGGCACCTTTGCAGCCGGTCCAGACGCATGCCATTCCCATATAATTCTGCTTCTTGTTTGGTCTTCTCACTGTAGCACTGCAGGAAGGTGTGTTTGTTCCTGTGAAGATAGTCCACCAGGTCTCCATTGCGACAATATTCGGTTATGATGTAGATGGGACCTGTACAGAAGGTCATTTTCAGGAAGTTAGAGAATACCCTTTTTTGTCATAAACTAATGATGGACTTGCTGAAGTTGCAAGTCTTTACAAGCATTCATTTGGGGTGTTGAGATAATTGAATGCTCCACTAAACTTCAAGACTACCATTTCCAAACAAAAGCTCATCTAGAATATTTCTTCTTTAAATACTAGATTTTTGCACGATGGAACATTTTACTTAGTGAAGCATGTATTTTGGGGGAATTTCACAGGTGTAGTGAATATAGTCCAGGTTAAAACAGTATTCCTTAAATGTGGGAAGTAGACTTCCAACTTGTTTTCTGTATCTGAGAAAGATATTGGTCTTTTTTCAAGTTGTATTTTTTATCATTCATTCATTCATTCATTCATTCATTCATTCATTCATTCATTCATTCATTCATTCATTCATTCATTCATTCATTCATTC